ACTCTCCTGATATGGCTCCTTGCAACTTCTGGCTGTTCCCCAAACTCAAGAGGCCATTAAAAGGAATGCAATTTCAGACAAGAGAGGACATTATGGCTGCAACTACAGCCGAGCTAAACTCCATTTCGAAAGAGGCTTTCTCGGAATGCTTCCAGAAATGGCGGCACCGCTGGGAGAAGTGTGTGGAGTCCCAAGGAGACTACTTTGAGGGTGATTAGGTTTCCAATGCTCCAGGTATGCCAGTTTTTATTCCCCAGCCAAATGTCGGATACTTTTCTCACAGGCCTCGTATATATATAAAATAAATTTTTTAAAAGTGATATATTTTGTTTTCTTCAAATATAATGAAAACCTTAAATTTAGATTGTATGCATTAATATTAATTATTTTTTTTGTTTATCATTACTACAGAATGTAATTTTATTTAACTTTTCCTATAATTTTTCTATGGGATTTAGTAGTAAAATACAAAATACATTTGGAAGATGGAATAAAAAAAAAAAGCACAATACACACACAATCAATATCACGTAATACTTACCAACTGGTTATCTATCTTTATACTAGGAAATATCCTCTGGAGAAGCTCCTGAACTTTATTTTCTTGATCTCTTAATCTCTGATTTGCTTCCTGAAAATTAACAAAAATTTCCTCTGATTATCTGTCATGAAACAAGACAAACTGTTAGGTGTTGTGTTATTACTTGAGTCAAAATTTCCACATTAGGTCCCAAAGTATTTTAATGCTATTATTAATTAATAGCAAAAAATGAGCCTCCATTTAATCAGTTTTAGATAGGTAGAAAACTCTGCTAAGCATAAACAAATATTTTCTTCCAACCCCACTATACCCTAACAGCATAATATATGAAAATAAATAAAATCTTGAAAATAATTACAGCATGTTAACAATCATTCACCCATTGATAAAGAACAGCTAAAGGAAACTCTGGTTTTCTAACAAGTTTTACGTACTTCATTTGACAAATCTAAATTTCACAGAATATTCCTAAATCCTTCCTTTGTAGAGTAAAAATTTTGAAATGTGAACTGCATTCATATTTGAAAGATCACTGATTTATAGGTCAAAAATTATATATACATATATATATACACAGACACACGCATTTCGTAAAACTCAGTGTTCACACATAATTTAACCAATACTAAACAAATGACTTGATATAATGTCATACAGATTACAAAAATTGAAGAAAAACTAGGGCAGCATGTTTCCTTTAAATTGTATTATTATTTGATTTTAGTTTCAATACTTATTGACTTAAAAAGAATGAAATTTACCTCTTTTGATTTACAAATTTCTTTTAATTTTTCACTCTCTATTTTATCTGCTTCCGTTTTCCACCTATCAACATCTTGCAGTGCTTGCTGAAGTCTTCCTTCAACTTCTCTACAAGCACTTTGAACCTTTGCTTCTGTATTATGTTCCTTTATGCTTGTTACTTCCTCCAGCTGTTGACAGTATTTCTCTTCCTGCTCTTTCTCAACTTGCTGAAGTCTTTCTTGTAGCCTTTGTTCAGCCTGTTTCACTTTTTCTTCAGCCTCCTGTCTTAACCTATCATTCACTAATGTGGATTCTGTTTGTAACTGTTTCAGTTTTTCTTCAGCGGCCTTTTCTGAAATCTGTAATGCTTCCATAGTCTTCCAGTTCTTTTCACGCAACTCCTAATATTAAGAATGTTGTGTATGCAAACAGTATATTTTAATATTTCTGTTATAAGTTGTATTTTATTTGGTAAAAAAAAATTCAAAAATGAATGTTCAAAACTAAATTTTGAACACTTTTCATATTAAATAAACATGGTTCATACTGAATTGCTCAGATCAATTTCAAGCACTTTTTGGAGTCTAAAATCAACATAAAAATAAATCTGAAATTTTATAAATTCCTATTTATTTCTTCAACATGAATGTAGACTAAAAGAAAAGAAAGACTATTTATTGTGCTCAACTCCACAACAATCCTTTAAAGTTAGATATATCGATATATTCTGCTAATATAATATTTTCAAGTACTTTTGCAAAAAGGCCCCTATTCAAGCCCAATTTCAAGGACGCGTATGCAATCCCGAATAAAATATTATGAATGAAACGGCTCATGTTTAGTCTAACCTTTCAGATCTCAAGACAAAACTTGTTAAAGAAGTAGAATGTACTAGAAAAATATTCTATATAAAAATTAGCATAAATGAGGAAGTATTTTATTTTTACACTTTTTTCCAACAGTTATTCTATAATTTATGTTGTGAACTTTCCAAACTCTTATCATGAGACACTGATGTGAAAAAAAAAAAAGGATTTGTTTAATGCTGACCATAAGGGATTATTCAAGACTGATTAGATATTTTGTCTATATATAGATCCTCAATAACAATGGCATATTTTATAAATAAAAGGAAGATATGTTCACAAACAGATAAAATATTTAATTATCATCCATATTCATAATTATTAACAAAAATATGTCAAGTAGAAGAACCATAAAGGTCACAAAATAATTCAACAAATTTTATAAAAGATAGAATATTTTATTTTCCATAAAACAGTCAAGTAATTTAAGCCTTAATAGGACTTAAACACTTACATTATTTTTCTGTTTTTGATTTTCAACTTCTTCTGTTAGAGATAACAGCTGTTCTTTGTGTGTACTGAGTGCATCTTCAAGCTGCTGTAAAGCTTGGTCCTTTTCCTCTAGTCTAGAATTTTAATGAACAAAGATTTATGAACTGGACCAGCCACAGACCTCTTTGCACTCCTTTAGTCATTATAGTTTTGATACAACTAACTTTTAGTATAGTAAGTGTACCTTCAAAAAATTTGGCAGATTTACAATAAACATAATAACTCTTTTGCATACAAAAAAAAAAAATTTTTTTGATAAACTAAAAAAGGATTTGTCCACGTACAAAGTAATTTCCATGTTAAGATTTAAAAATACTTTTCCTCACTTAAAAAATCTCAAGTTTCATTTGTGTAATCTCTAAAACCTCCTAAATACATGTTTGTTTTCAGTAAAAATTACATTTTATATGATATTTTCTCTACCCTAATTCTATACAAGGTTGGTCAATTTGACTGACCACACACACGCAAATCAAAATAACTCTAAACTGCCCTTTTTCTTTCTAGAACAACTTCAAATTGTAACATGAAACTACATTCATTTATCCTATGTAGCTTTAAACTCATAACAGTATACATCTGTTTATACTTACATTTTATTGTTTTATTGCCTTTTCAACTGTAACCATTATGCTTTCAAATTACATTACTCACGAGCTACTGCAACTGTTTGCTTGCTTGCGTGCCTCATGAAACATTTTTATTACATTATTTTATTTAATCTAACTGTAACTAACGTAAAGAGGTCCCTATTTTTACATTTTAGTTGCTTTTATAATAACAAATATATAATAAACATGAAAAACAAGAAATAAAGTTCTTATCCAAGCCTTTTTTTTTGCTGTTGACTGTTGATACTTAACCCTACCTTTTTTTATGCTAATTGTAGTAATGCACTAAATTTTTATTTAATTAAATAATGCACTAAAGAACAGAATAACAACATAAAAAAAAAGCAAACAATTTCCCCAACTATCACAATTTTCCTGGCTTTCTAACCATGCAACTAGAACCATTAGAAGTTCAATCAAGCCAGTTGTTAACTTTCCCGTAGGAACAAAACTTGTACTAACAGAGAAATTGACAATTATCCATTCAGAAAACAATGTTATACAATACGACATTTGACAGATGAAAACCTTGGCTTTCTATTAGTTATGCATAATATAAAATTAAGTGTAAGAGAGAACTACTAACAAATCCTGCAAAATAGGATGTGAGAGGTAGGTGTGGCGAGAGAGGTCTGACTTTGTAACCAAACAAAATTGGAGGCTATAAAAATTATAGTTTGTCTGAGCAATGATAATTTTATAGTGAGTAATTTATGTTAAATTTCATACTTATTGGAGGGGTGGTAAATAAAATAGAGAATAGGGGATGCATAAAGAAAATATGTCAATTCTCACACTGAGAGAAATTCAGAATTTTTTTTTTTATATTGCCTTGTAAAACTAAGAACTTAAAAAACTTGTATACTATTAAAATATGGACCATTAGCTACTACTTTATGCTATACTAATTGGTATAACATAAACAAAAAGTAGTTTAATAAGATTTTGAATGTAAGTCACTAAAACCTTGAGACACGCACAGTAGATAATGCCCAGGCAGAGACGATTAACTAGACCACAAATCATCTTTCAGGTGTCACATACATGTGATTCTTAGAAAATAATAATTCTATTTCAACAATTTTTCACTCAAAAATATTTTAAATAGATATTTTTCATTATAAAGCATTCTTTCAATGTATTTTGCAAAGAAAAATAAATTCTCCAACTTTCATTTCTGCACAAGTCTGAGAAGTGTTGCCAATAAACAGCAAGTTTATTTTATTCTTATCCTAAAGTATAGGTTTTTATTTGTTAAACATCTATCACCCCTTGAAAATGTGATTCATATCTTGTTTTTCACATGATTTTTCTCCTCCACTAGTAGTTTTATTACTACAGCCCTTTGCTGCCACCCCTTTTAAGATGTCACATCATGTGGTCTAAACAATTACTAATGATGCTCAGTTCTGATAATAGCTCAAGTTAATGCCTACATACCATTGAACAGAACAAATAGCAAACTATGCAAGTCAATGTAGAATAAATAAAATGTTTCAGCAGTAATTTATTGTTTCTCATGATAGATTACCTTGAGATTCTGTAGGGGTAAACAAAGGAATCTGATGGGAAGTTTAAGTGTGTTTAATTTTCTTTGGACATTCTTTTTTTGCTGGAACCATTTTGAGAGCTACAGAAATTTTCTTCAAGACATCAGTTAAGCTTAGTTGGGTTTAGAGAGAACAACAGCTGATAGCAAAATATCCTGACAACTCAGTTCCTTAATTTTACTGAATATTATTGTTAATTCTTTTTGGTATTTGTTGTTTGAATACATTAACTTATTTATTGAAAAGAAACTTCTCCAGTTGTTGTCATTTTTTGGTGTGATTTTTATGATTTATAGATGGAAGTGTTGACTACAGCTATTAAGAAAATAAAGAATTATAAAAAATATATTAATATCAAGCAAGTTAAAACTGACCAAATATGTAAAATAGAACTTCCCTATTGACAATAAAGCAACCAAAATTCTAAGATGAAAGGAAGTATCTTATTTTAAACATTTTTGCAACAGTTATTCTATAATTCTTATGTCGTAAAATTTTCAAACTCTTGTCACGAGACACTGTTGTGAAAAAATAAAAAAACTTCAATTTGTTTAATACTATATAGATAGTTCTATTTTATATAGCCAATCAGTTACAACTTGATTGAGATTAAGCAATATATTTCTTATGATACTTTATTTTGCCAGTTGAAGTAGTCACCACTTTGAACTACAAACCACAAAAAACAGCAAACAATATTCTTAGTTAAAATAAATTAGTTGAAAAAAGATGATAGTTTATTAGCAAATATAAGCCTTTGCTCTGGGATGGGCAGAAAAATTCTAAAAACATAACTGTGTAGTTTGAGGCAAGACTCTTCAGAGCTGTATATATATATATTTGAAATTTTTCATTTTATATTTGTATTAAATGTTAGAAAATTACAAAATATGAATTCCTAAATATTCAATGAACAATTTTTTTAAATAATTATAAATTTATCTTACTTAACCTTTGAAATTTAATACGCAAGTGTGCACTTGACACTTGAAAAATGTTCACCAGTTTAGAAAGAGTGAAAAGCTTTCAAGATCTATAGCAAATTTAATAATGTATCAATAATATACTACAATCAAACGAGTTTGTAATATTAGTTGTTACACACATTCTGGACTACAAATTATAAAATTATGTGCTGATTTGTAAAGATACCAATTCTAAATTCATTATATTCTTAGACATTACACTAAATGTATAATAGTTTTTTTAAGCTGAAATGCTACTCACTCAAAGCTATATTTCAATACACCATATTGGAATAAATGTACAACACCAATGTAATATGATTAAAAGCTAATATTCCTGTATTAATAAAGATAATACATGAATTATAATACTATAAGAATTAAAACAATTATAGTTACAAAACAGAAAAAATAATCTATAAAAAATGCACTATCATTGCTTAATAGCTACTTACATTTTTTGATGCTCTATTAAATCAATTTTATTCATCTGCTGATCTTCATTCATCTGAAACAGACCATTCAGATTTTCCGACCATTAAAATATGCTTCACTCTATCAAAACTATAGTTACAAACAACAACAAAAAGGTTTCATCTATTTATAATAATTTGTAATACACAAGTGAAAGATTTAATAAAGGCATTTTAAACAGGAAAAAGCTAAGTCTATAAAGACAATTCCTGGATCAGAGTAATGAGCTTGTTTTCCAATGATTAAGTTATTTCAATAAGTAAGTTTAAAAAATGTTTGTTTAGAAAAAAGAATGTGGAAAACTGCAAGTAGTTTAACTGGGAAACTATATTATTTTACTAGAAATCTGGAAGCAGCAATTATGTACATAACATTCTTAAAATAATACTTAGTTTCTTCATAGACTGTATTGCGAAGACTATTTAATAAAGGTTTGGTCCCCCATTACTGAAATGTCCCTTTGTGGTAATTTAAGACTGTGATTACAGTTCTGTAGATTACAATGAAGTAAGAATAATAACAATTTCACTTATAAAATGCAGATTTTGGTATCTGATTTGAATAAACATGTATAACAGCTGACACTTTCAAAATGTCTGGTTCATAATAATGAGCATTATCCAAAATTTGAGTTAGTCTCTATAACTTAAGTAATCAGAATTTGTATTTTCTTTTGTAGATTATTCTTTTATAATTTCAGTGTTATTTAACCTGTCCCAATCTTACTAATAACAATTAATTCTCCTTCACCTATGGTTAGACTTATGAGACAATAAACTAAAATTGAGATACAACTTTTTAAAAGTTCTTTATTTTTCACGCATTTTTTATTTAGAATTTTCATTTTTCAAACTTTTCACACAGATACAAAATAACATTACCATTATTAATTTAATACGTTATAATATTAAGTTATTCATATTATCATTTCTATAAATGTTTTTTTATATTAAATCTAATTTTGATATTACATCTGTAAAATTTATTTAGTCCTATGGCAGCACAATTTCTGCAGAAAGTTAATTAATACAAATCACATTCTACAAGGGACTGAATTTTAAAGACTGTGTACCCTATATGTGCCTACAAAAATAAAATTTAGTTTTAAATATCACTAACTTTAGGAGATTCCATAAAATATAATTTTTAGGCCAAACAATCATTAGCATTTCAAATTTCACACAAGACCTTCTGCAATAAGTAATTTATTTGGTATGTCACAGTAGCTTTTGTTTGTTATTAAGCACATAGCTATACAATCGGCTATCAGTGTTGTGTCAACAATAGGTATTGAAACCCAGGTTTTAGCATTATAAGCCTACAGACTTATCACAGAGTGCCACAGCAGCAGTTAATTTTTTTTTTGCAGCTGATTTTACTCAAACCCCATTAACCATGTTGACCTGTAGTATTTTGTTTTTTTGTTGGGTTTTGTGCAAAACTACAAGGGCTACCTATGCTACTTATACTTTATTTTGAAGTAAGAGACTAGAGAGAAAGCAACTAATAAACACTACCAACTCTTTGGTTACACCTGTCAGGCCAAATAGTAGATTTAATCCCTTCCATAGTTTGCCAAAGATAACTCTGGCACCTCAATGTTTGAAAAAAATATTTGTCTGCATTAATTTGATCAAACCATTATTAGCCCAACTTATTCACATGTTATCATGTAAAACAACAGATTATCAAAATTAACAAACCCTGACATGTAAGGGGTTAATTAACAAACTATTATATTTTACTATTTAAACATCTTAATTATGATATATAATTATAAAAAGTGTTTAAATTATCAAGTATATGCTTAAGTCATCTACGTACCTTATCATAAAGCTCTCCATTTTGCTGCATGGATTCCTGTTGTTTAGCTGCACTTTGTTCTCGAAGAGAACTAATCTCTGAAGACAGTGTTTCATTCTGCTGAAAAAGGTTATTTAGTTCATTTCGTTGCTCATTGTTTTTATTGGTCAAATCAGATATCTGAGCCTGAAAAGTATGCAACTGAGACTCTGCTTCATCATTTTTTTTCCTGGCTTCCTAAATGTAAAAGACAAACATTATTCTTAGTAAAACTCAAAAACATAAAATTACTTAATAATATTTCTCATAATTCAGTGCAAAGTGCATCTAATTCACTACCTTACAAGTTTTGCACCGTTTATGAAATAAGAGATTTGGTTCACAACACACACACACACACACAAAGAATGAATAAAATGTAAATAGAAAAAATTAAATTACATATTTAAAAAAAGACAATACAAGGTTTCAATATAATCTAAGACATACCTTCAATTAAGTTCCTTGATTCCCTAAGAAATGTGAACATGACAAAACAATCCAAGAGTTAAAAACAATTATGTTAGACGTTAATCTAAAGCAATCTTTAAGAATGGCAAAATAAATAACCAGCATCGTTAAATTCATCATTACACTGGTAATAGAGAAGTAACCGTGTTTTGAACAGTCCGATACATTAAAACCTTATTTCAGCTAAACCTAGGCAATTAATATGATCACCTACGGATATTGATTAGTGTTGTAAAATACTCAATTAGTCATTTCCAATTATTATTGTTTTTGATTATTCCAACTATCCAAGTAATTGAAAATTTTCCATTATGACTTATCATTACCATTTTCAATTAATTCAAGCTTACTTAATTAATGTTATGACTTGCTAAATTGAAAATAAAATAAACAAAATCAGGGTTTCTGATTATTACATTTATTCAAGGCTTCTGAAAATAATTAGTTGAAGATAACCAATTAATGAACCTGACAATTAATAGATTAGCAAATTCTACTGATTGCCTAGCTCCAACTTCAGCCAATGTTAACCCTCTCACAATATGAAAGTCAAAGTGTTCATTTTTGTCCATCAGACAACATTTTTAAACATCCCAGAGCAATTCTAATGGATTAAGGTATGGACAATTCTAGAAATTATTGATTAACATGATGCATTATCAAATTTCCATTAATGGAGGCAGTGCAGCATTTCTAGAATATAACAATATGACAAGGTATTCATGGTTTCTTTAACTATTCGCAGTGCACCAAGTTCAAACCAGCTAAAGCAACCTCACATGATGATACTAACCTCATCACTCTTCATAAATGGAATGACAAAGTCTTAATCACAATATTATTCAGATTGTTATCAAACTCAAAGAAACAATAAGGAATGTGGTTCATCTCCCAACATGCCAGTTTTTTTTTTTTATCTTATTTCACCCTAAGGTTGATGCCACAGATGAAATTTAACATCTCATGCTCATAGCTGTAATAACCGATTGGGATCTGCAGGCTGTCAACGAAGTCCAACTGTATCCGGCTCTTGTAGAGTGAATGTACTAGACTGCAATTCTAAACTGGGTAACAGACGTAATGTCACATATGCTGCTTCATTTCACAATACATTTTAAAGATTGCATGGAACAAATTCCAAAAATTGATTTATTATGAGCAGCTAAAGCAATATTCCATATGGGAATATTTAAGTCTATTTCTTCACTACAGTACACACATAGCATATTTCAGTTCAATTAGGTTACCTAAAATGGTTAATACTCATGCCACTAAAGAAAATCCACAAGCTCCTTTCCTGTGGGCATGTTGATTTCAACTGTCTATCTGTAACAGCTATTGCCAAATCAAACTTGTGCATAGTGTACATTGGTTCTAACATGCAAGTTCAGTGAATGAGGTCCACTGCTAGCTGTGGTGTTGATAGTTGTTCCAATAATTTTGGTAAAGCAATGTGTGCGTGCACGCGCTACTTTTCAATATTAAATATCAATGTAAAAACCACCAAACATTCAATGACATTCATCACCTCTAATTGTGATCTTTTCTTTATTACATCAAATATACATCTTATAAATTACTGTAAATACAGATTGAAATGTACCTCAAGGGAGTCATAAAGTTCCTTGACATTTCTTTCTTTGTCAATTCCTTGTTGCCTTGCTTCTTCTAGTTGTTTTTTCATAGAACTGTTATCATTTTCAATGTTGTGAAAGGAGGTTCTCAAGTTCTCAATCTCCTGTGTAAGTTTGTTGACTTGCTGGGTGTTCTTGTATTCTTCCTCTTTTAGTTGTTGTACACATTCTTGAAGTTTTTGTTTTTCTTGTTGGAGTTCTTCATTCGTCTTCAGCAGAGTATTTTGTTTAGCATCATAAAGTTCTTTAGCTGACTTTGCTTGATCCAATTCATGCTGCAGTTGTGATAATTCCACTCTGCTACAACTCCTAAACATATAATTAAACACCTACAATGGACATTTTTCTCCAAAACAATACTTCTTACAATATCTTATTCTATAGTCAAGTTATTAATACTTTGTGTATTTTTAATATTTCCAAAAAATCCAAAAAGTATTAAGGATAATAGATCATCTTTATTTATTTTAACTCTTTCTTAGTTGAAACCGATTTTCCAAAAGATAGATTATGTTGCCCAACAATTTCAACATAATTAAACTTACTCTTTTTCTAATCTGGAGAGGTTCTGTTTCAGTGTGTTATTTTCTTCTTGAAGTCTTTGGATGGTTGGAGCCTGCTCATCTGTTACCTTTGTCTGCAACTGAAGAAACAACAAAAATTTTCACCATTTCGTATCTAGATGATACTATAGCCTAATAATGACTTTTCTCCAGGTCATTTGTTTGATATATTTTAAAAATTAATGTCCTAAAAAATGAAATATGCCTTCCAAAGGAGATAAAAAATTAGTAAACAACAACCAAAACCTTCAAAACATAACTCAAAGTACGACAAATGAAATCCAATCACTTCACATCAGTGCCCTTTAGAACATAAGATACATCAGTTTAGCAAATCCATTTAACCATATTAGTTCAGAAACTTCATAAATCAAGTTATCTAAATTTTCTACTGGAATAAGAGCAAACAATGCTGGTAAAAAAAATCTGGAACTCACTTGTTGGATTTTTGCTTGAAGAGAAGAAGCCTCTTTCTTGTGCTGGTCTTGACTCATTTGAATGCTAGACTGCAGAGACTTTATTTCTTCTTGGTGTTGTCCAAGCTTTTCTCGTAACGTGCGTTCAAGTCCTGAAGAACGGGATTTTTCTTTATTTAATTCCTGTTTCAGCTCTCTCATTTTAGCACTAATAGCTTGTGCTTGACACTGTTCTGACTCTAACTGCTGTTCACGCTCTTGAAGCTGTTTTTTAAGATTAGCCACTGGGTCATTCTTCTATTTAAAAAAAGAAGCATATACTGACTTGTGAGAAAGATGCTAGTACACTTAAGGATACTCTTAGATGTGAATTAGAGAACTGTTTATGCAAAGTAACAATCATCCTGACAAAATAAGAAATATGGTTGAGATGGTTTACTGAATATATTTATTTACTTTGAAACTTAAAATTTTTCTTGAATTCAAAATGAATATCCATATTTTAAGAGATTTATAATAAAACATTAAACTAAGAAAATTTTTACTGAGCAATTTTTAAAATATGTTCTTTGTATCTGACCACATTAACTGTTGAATATATAGCAATATATCAATATTAGAAATTACCGCAATCAAGCCACTCAGTAAAGTGGTATTTTAAATAAATCTCATTTCCAGTGTTGTTTAAAAAAAATCACAAATTCTGCACAAAAAAGTAGTAACCAACATTTTGCTGACATTATAACATACAAAATAAAAGATGAAAGTGTGTTTAGTTTGATACGAGATATTATTGTTATGAGAAGCTTATATTACAAAAAATGGCAATTAAGTTGATAACCTTGTCACTGTTTATCAAATCTAATGTTTTCTCTCACAATTAAATCAAGATTTCTAGGCTATTGTGAGAAGTCTGGTTAGAGTGAGAGGGTGAATAAGAGGTGTGGGAGTGGATACCACAGAAAGAAATATTGTATCCAGGTTAAATCTGGACAGAAACAAACCAAACTTATTTATCTGTAAAGCTGGTACCATATTCAGTCTTTACTGGTACAACAAATCAAAATTATACACACAAATGCCAAGGTACCATTTCAATTTTAAACGTACTATAATAATAATTTAAACTAGTCACTAATAAATGACTATTAACTTCTTAATAGCCTAATTAACAAGGAGAAACCTCTTATTTCAATGAAAGAAATTAAATTCAAGCATCAGGAAACTTATAATTCCACATAAACAAGAGGCATCTGTATATCAGTGAAATCATTCTAAACAGTGAAACTAAACTGTAACAGGAACATTGACCATTCATGACATGTTCCATGTTTAACAGGTTGAAATAGAAAGTACTTACTTGATTAATTAATACTTATTTACTACTTCTAGCTACTTAAGGATATTTTTTTTTAAATGGAGCTAGGACTAGGTTATTTTACTGCATAATGGTGAATCGGGTTTCCCGAGGATTAAATGACCAATATTTGCTAACAATGAGATATCTAACATAAGCAAAAAATGAGTGTTTTAAGCAATAAGTATTCATTTCTTTAAATTTGCTGAATTAAAAGATCTTTCACACAATTTATCAAAACTGTACAAATTATGCTTGTGCTTTATTCATATGTTTAGTCATAAAATGTAAAAATGTTGCACTTTCCAACTGGTGAACTTAATATAATAGCTGTAGTTTTCTGAATGTTAGCCTAAAGATCTGCAACTATACAGTTTCTACATATATGATTGTCTTTTAGCCTTTTCGTTTTCTATGAAACACAGCTGTGGAGAGATTTTAACAACAATTTCCTTTTGCAGGTGTTTTAAGCTGGTTAATAAATGTGATTCCTACTTATTTGTCTCTAGCACATGTTTTCTCACTGATACTATATTTTTCTTTCACTCTTATATAAATTTTGAACTACCTGAAAATCTAAATGAGAACTCCAAAAATGTGTTAACTGAAACTTTAGAAATCCAGAAATAATTCAATTTTAACTCTTAAAAGTATTTTCCTAAACAATGCTAAAACTGAACAAGAAAACCCATATAGTAATACTGGTATTAACTGTACAGATCAAACAAAGTGCAAAAGTCATGACCTTTTTAAGAGTTACAATCAAAACTTAATTACACAACTTTATTATCAAAGTACATCAATAAACTTGGTATCAAAGCCTAGTTTACAATTAATTTATTTTTTTATTCAAGTTTTAATTTTTAACTTCAAAAGGAAATAAGTTCTCAATCTTTACTTCTCTGCATCACATAACATTTCTTCTTTCTAAATCACCCAGTCTAGATTTTTCTAACTCTATATGACCTTGTGTGTCACAAATTACATTTATAGCAGATAATGCTAAGCCATAATATATATGTTTAGCCTCCAAACTTCTGGCTTTAATGACATATAAATAAGAAAGTCAAACCCACATTTCACATCCTATCTTTCAAAAAATCCATAATTCTTTCCGACTTTGCTGTTGATCGTGTTTATAACCAACAGAAATAGCAAGCTGTACACTACATATATCACACAATTATCTGTTCTGTTTCAGCCACAAAAGTCAATAACTTGCTGTCTGAGCCTGATGCTTTTGATTGAAGACATTGATCCATGGAGTAATGAATTTTTTTAACCTATCTAAAGTTATTCAAAAAGTTAATTCATAAGAATAGTTTTCTTGCAATCTAATCTAGTGAGTGGTATGTTTTTAGTTTTCTAAAATTCATATTTCAAAGCTATATGAGAACAGAATTAAGAAAGTAGGCACTCAATTGAAAGCTGGCTTAGAGTTAAAGTAAGTTCTAAATTTTTTTATGTATATATTCTATTTGCTGTTATATATTTTTTAACAAAAGTAACTACAATGCAAAATTAAAACTTAGTAAATTAAATAAGAAAAGTAGTTAAATTTCTAATGATGTAGTCTGGAAATGTTTACTCTAAACTCTCTGCACTCCCACTGGGTGTTTTATTGCTTGCCCCACAGTTAGGCCCCATTCAAAGAGCAATAAAACAAAATTAAATTAACAGTAGTTGTGAAAAAGTTAAAGAGGCCTAAATCTCTAAAGAAAAATAAAGGCAATTGTCCAATCTGCAGTTATTCTTAAAGAAAAATTTAATTCCATATTTTGATTTTTAGCATGAAAATCACCTTTCACTCGAACTAAGTAAAGGCTTCATAAATTCACAGACAAATCTATCAAAAATACTTTGTTAGAAAAATTTGTAATGTTTACTAAAAGCTTGCTAATACCATAAAGATACACCAAATACATTCAGATTTAGTGTGTATAGATTCATGGTTTATGATGGTTATCAGACTGAGCTCATGTACAGAATGAAAAAAAATAATAAAGGAATAAGAAAACTTTCTTGATCTTGAAACCTTTTAATCATAATATATATACATACACACACACGAGTTACAGCCGACATGCAATAAAAAAACATAAAACGTACCTTTGTCCATACAACTGCTTCTTCATTCTGCTTAGTCAGAAGGACATCAATTAGCATCTGGCTATCCTCAGCACTTAACTCAGCATTTTTTAACAGGACAAGTAGCCTACTAGCTGCTAGTTCTACATTATCACCAGCTGAAAATTAAAATCAAATAGTTCTTGTTTTCAGTGATTAAATTCCTCTTGGTTTACAAATGTACATAGTATTACTATTTTACACTATAGATATTGGTTTTATGTTAAAAGTATTGATTTCTAGGTCTTTGTTTACTTGTTTTCTTTCTTCTGAGCTTTTTGAAGTCAGCTCATTTATGAAATTTTATTCACAGGTGCACATGGATATATATAAGTTTATGATGTAAATTTTGTCGTATTATTAAAACTATAAAACTATTGAACTTGCAATCTAGTTCTCTCAATATATATAAATATATACATTTTTTTACCATGTGCATTTACAACTAAGTTGAATCTTTTGTACAATATATACGTTATAGTTGCAGTCATAGTAACACCGATGGTTTGGTTAACAAGTGCAAATGTATTGATAGAAACTGTTTTCAAAACATCAGCTTTTTATATATTCATAATATTTGCTTGAATCAATGGTTAGTATTTTTGTTTGAACTTGTATAATTTTGGCTGTCATTGACATAAGCTGAAATATAGCTAGAGTACAGTTTCTCAAATTTTTAGTTGGTATGAACATCCTATGTGGCTAGTATTCAGAATTTTTAATAAAAAAAATAATACATTCAATTTCAACATTTATTAATAAAATTTAATCAAAACTAAACACACATACACAGATTAGTTTTATAACCATTTCCAATTTTTTTTTTCATTTGAAAGCAGATTACTACTTGTATACATGGATGCATTATGGAAAAAAAAATTTGCTACACAAGTTAGTAAGTTTGAAAACATCCATGTTTCAAGAATATGAACATTAAATAATTTGATTGAAATTTTTTTTATAGACATACTTATAAATAAAACTAATTTTTTATTATCTTCCAGCCATCAAGAAAAGTTAAAATGAATATGTAATGATTATTTTCTGACGATTCTAAACAATATTTTGTTTCCATATTACACTGTCTTGCACGTATTGATTTTAATTTTATTTTATTCCTTTGGTAGTTAGTTTTAAAATACAAGTGTATTATTTTTTCTCCAGGTATTAAAAATAAGTACTCAGTTTATGATTATATTTTGGTACACTTCAAAATAATAATAATAATAATTTTCTAATGGATATTTTAATGGATGTATTTGTTTTATGTTATAAAAAATTAACTTATTCAACAAACCGTTTATCCCATCTTAACTTTTTTTCCCCCTCATCATCTCAATGCTATGTAACTTATTTTAAACTACACACAAGTTAAAGAGAAGTACATTGTTACATTTTTGCTTTTCTTCTATTTCTATCAGTTACTTTTTGACTGGTTCATCCATGTGAAATGCATAAATTTAATTATTTCTAAAGATAATAATACTTCAAATGTCACACTTACAAAAAATGAACTTACAATAATTACAGTGTCAAAAATGAAGTTAACAAGAACTCTATTAATTGCTACACAGATTATGATTCAAAAACAATTAAGATCCATTAGTGTTTCCAATGATAAATGTTATGTTTTGAAGCAAACGGTTAATCACAGGTGAGTGTACCATATTTAACATAAAACCATTATGTCCAACATTTTTTTCAGTATTACTCAGCAAATCTTTCACTACAAATAACTTCAACTAAGGTTAAACAGCATGGTAGTTATAGGCATTAGGTCATATGACTGAACATCTTTTAATTCTTGTTTAAATGATAAAAAGTTATTTCAACTTAATAACACTGAAATGTATATTTTCATCATCGAACAAAACATACGAACATTATGATGAATATATGAGTTTTATTCATCTGACTTGGTCTGTGATATTGAGGAGATAAGATAGTCTGTATAATCTAAAGTGGAAATACAACATCATATTACAGTGAATCAGTAAGGTAGGGTTTTAAGATGTCAAGTAGAGCATCAGTCTAGACTTAATACCAAACTATGCATGTACAACTGGTTTAAAACACGATAAGCATTGATGACCTAATTCTATTTATCCTGTATGTGATAGTACATACTGATACATTAGCTTTTTTTTTTGGTGTAACTGGGACATTTTCAAGAGGTAAGTAATCTACACTTACCCAAAGTATGCTATATAAATCAGTCTTCATTAGTAATATTAAAATATTTACAATGTTTTCTTACACACACAGTATAAAAAAATTTACCTTGAACAAAACTAGTAAATTAGAGAAGAAACTCACAATATGTATAGTGGAACTATCAAAAAAAAATATATTTTTTTTTTTGGTTTACTATGAAGAAAAGACTGGAAAAAAATAACCCATAAAGAATTGAAAGAAATATTTTTAGAGTAGTTCTCTTTCCTTACTGACATACATAGATGTGAAAGACATTGATATAGCAACTTTTACAACCAGGTTTGTCCATACAGATTGTCTTTTTGCTTTGAAACTTGGAGCTGAAGTTTTATTATTTTGCAGGGTATTTCTGAACCTTATACTTCACAACATTTGTTCACTATTTATAAATTTTGTGTATTATGGGATACAGTTTCCTCCAGATATTATACATTTACATAAAATCAGGTTTCTTGAAATTTACAAACCAACAGATAATCTCTATCACTCTTATCTAAATACATGCTGTTCTAACATCAGCATTATTTGTAAATGAGGGAAATGTTGGAATAATAAGTGTAATGGCATGTCTGACCAGTCATATAATTTCAAAAAACTGTCTCAGTTTCAAGGACACTAGATCACAGAACTCCAACTATGTCACACACATGAAATTGTGCACGAACAGGAAGAGAGCATGGCCTTTCCCACACACACACACACACTTGTGCCACGTTGCATCTTGATTATCTTTCCAGTCAAGTTACAGATCACCTACATGTGCACTGTTTCTGACCTTGACAACCACACTGCTTAAGCTCTGGGTTCAGCATGTGCAATCATGTCATATCTTTCAAAACTATTACTTACACTATCATACATTACTCAAAATATGCAATTTTCTTTGGGAACTTTCCCAAATTTAAGCTTGTATTTGATAGTCAAGCTTTTCAGAAAAAAGCTAAGTCACTAGAATAATTGATTCAATGCACTTGTTTAAGATCCTAAACAAATAATCAAAGTATCAGTGTAACTATTCATAATTTTATTTATTTATCATATATAGTTCCATGATGTATGTCAAATTTTGTATCTTCTGATTTTTGAAGTGACATTTTTTTAAAGAAACTAAATTATTAGAAATCCTCTCTTTAAAATAAAGTTTCTTATTAATAGCTGTGGTCTTAAGTACAAAAAAATTGAAATACTTTATACCAGTCATATTTCCAAAAAAAAACAGTTGTATAATTATTTTTAAGAAATGTTTCACAACTAAGAAGCTTAATTAGAATGTATATCAAACATATATATTTTTAAAGTAAAAAATAGAATAAAAGTTTATATGTTACTGCAGTGCTACTTAGCAAAAACTGGTAGAACATTTTATGCTAGAAAGTAACTAAACCTTTATTTTGTGTTCACTCCTACAAGGAAATGACTGGCAATAATAAGAAGTTTCATCTTTATGATTGCTTTTCAAACAAACTTGGCATGCACTTTTAAGGCACCTCTGAGGAGTATCATGGTCAGCATTCAGATCTGATGCCTCCTATGTTACCCCCCTCCTCCAGTAGCCTTTGTGTGTTTCCCATATTATTCTTCTGAGCTCTATCAAACTTCCAAGGCATTCTTAGGGCACTTGAGGGAGTGACACAGGAGGTGTTTATGTGTGTAGGGGGAATATTCATATCTGACCACATATTGTGGGGATCATCTGTGTATTTACTTTCATATTTTCAGTTTCTGACTGATAGTGACCAAACTTGCTGTGGACCCTTAGAACTTCCCTTCCGCAGGTGTAATATGTATGTGTGTGTGTGTGTGTGTGTGTGTGTGTGTGTGTGTGTGTGTGTGTGTGTGT